TGGTGCTCTCCTTTGGAGATCTTATGTGATTTTATCACAGAAAGCAGGTATAAAAGAATATATATGTATTTCACATTATAGGAAATATTAGATGCACTGTGACACCATCCATTATAATTTGACGTAAATTTGACTCCTTGGGGGGGAAAAGCATGCCTTTCTTCCCAAATACAATAGTGTTGTAAAATGACCCTGACACAAAACATTTCTTAGGTCTTGGCCATAGGCCAGCGTGTGTACTCAAAGACACTCAAGAATTTTACCACAAGGCTGAGTTTGGTTGGTAGGACCTACTGTTTTGTGCTGAATCTAAGCAGACTTAGTTATTAAAGTGTCACTAGGATCCAAGGCTAGTCTTAGGACACAGAACTCCAGAAACTACTAGAGGTAATATGTATTTGTGGGTTTGTGAGATCTTCATAGGACTTTCTTAATCCTGTGCTTAAAAGATTGGTCAATAAGGGGCTTCCCTGGTGGCGCAGTGGTTGAGAGTCCACCTGCCGATGCAGGGGACACGGGTTTGTGCCCCAGTCCGGGAGGATCCCACATGCTGCGGAGCGGCTGGGCCCGTGAGCCATGGCCGCTGAGCCTGCGCGTCCGGAGCCTGTGCTCCGCAACGGAAAAAAAAACATTGGTCAATGAGTTAGTGATCAAGCATAGAAGAGAGTCTTTGTGTCTTGGTTCTAGTTCATTGCTCTTTCTAGGTACTTCTCTTTTGGGGATAAAGTCTGAAATTATTAATGTGGCCTGATAAGACCCTACCCCTCTTTCGCCTCTTCTCATGCCGCTCTGTGCTCACTCAGCAGTCGCACCATGTTGGCCTTTTCTAAGTTCATCGAAAAACGTTACCTTCTTTCCTGCCTCAGAGCCATAATAATTGATGTGTCTTCTTTTTGGAGTGTTCTTTATCAACCTTTCCACATGGATAGTTGTTGAAGCATTACTTCCTTAGAGAAGCTATTCTGATCCTTGTAGTCCTTCAGGCTACATTAAATACCTTTGTTAGACAGCCACCTGACATTCTATATTTTTCTTTCTCAGCACTTATTCTAACTGTAATTCATAGTTACTACCTAAGCATTTATTTAATACCTCCATTAAGGCAGGGACTATTTCTGAGCTGCTTGTTGTTGCACCTCCATTGTTTAGCACAGTGTTTAGTTAATAGTACACATTTAATAAAGATTTGCCATTGAAAATTTCATCTGTACTGGAAATGTGCTTGAAAAGTACCAAGGTTGGTTCATATATCCATTTCTACTTTAAATGATAATGCTGGAATGAGAGCTAGAGAATTCTTATTCTAGCTCCAGTACTAACTATACGATCTTGGGCGTGCTACTTCTGTTCTCTAGACCTCAGCTTATCAGTGTAATGAAGAGGTCAGACTAGACTAAATGATCTGTTAAGCCCCTTTCAATTCCAGGTACTAAGTATGTTATTGTTCAGCTTACCAAAATTTTAGTGCTGGCTACTTTATTAAAACTGAAGTAATAATAAAGGTAGGGTTTATTTAGCCATAAAATAGTAAAAGCATTTCTTAAAGTGCTCCTATAAAATATGAGTGATTTTATAATTTTGAAAAATATTTAACAAGGCTCATTTTTACATGTATGCTCTGCATGTCTTTATATATTTTGGATAAAGAGACAATTCAATATCCCAAACAACCACTGAACATTTTTCAAAATTGAAATGGAAGAACCTATACTTACAAAAACAGTCTTCACCAAAGTATAAATGTTTAAAGGACTTTGGCTAAGCCTGTTATAAGCTTTACTGCATTGTTGATTTTTTAAACCTCAATGTTGTTTGGAAATTAATATTATTATCATCATTATGACTATGAACTGTGTTCTGAGAATCTTACATGGAATGACTTTTGTAAATGCTTATGTAATAGTTAATCAGAGTTTAACCTTTTTCCTTCCTAAACCATTAGTTTGCAAAGGAGTTTTCTAACTTATAAAGCTATTTATTTGAATAACTAGTATTTTATATTCTTTCAGAAAAGGATGCAGTAGCATTTAGGGAAACTTTAAATTTATAAGTAACTAGGCTGAGAAGAAAAATTAATACTACAATTTGTGTTAGAAAAGTGTAAGATGGGTTAGTGAAGCTAGCAGTTATTGAGGAGCTATCTAGTCAACATTCTAAAAATGACTTCAAGAGAATAATTTCTTGTAAAACAGTATAATTTAATTTGCACTGAATTTATTTTCCTTTTATTTCTTAAAACTCAGCACCATGAAATTATTCATTACATTTACAATAAATATAATCGTATACCACTGCTGTTGCCTCATTTATAGAGAGAATATCTCTCCTCCCTAACATCCAGGGATTTTATATTTAGCACATTAACTCAGAAAATATTGATTGGTTATCTCTTATTTGCAAGTCACTATTGTTGATGCTAGGCATTCAAAAATAATTAGGTTGGGCTTCCCTGGTGGCGCAGTGGTTGAGAGTCCACCTGCCGATGCAGGGGACACGGGTTCGCGCCCCGGTCCGGGAAGATCCCACATGCCGCGGAGTGGCTGGGCCCGTGAGCCATGGCCGCTGAGCCTGTGCACCCGGAGCCTGTGCTTCGCAACGGGAGAGGCCACAACAGTGAAGGGCCCGCGTACCACAAAAAAATAATAATAATAATAATTAGGCTGATCATGACTTCAGTAAGCTTACAGTCTATCAAGCATGATAAGACATGTGCATAATTAAACACAAAGTTAAAAAAAGGGATAAGCATTGCAGGAAAGGTGCAAATCAACTGTTAAGGATCTTTATCTTCCATCTCCTCCAGAGCTATATGCTTGTTCCAAGACTTTGAATCCTCCTCAGCTCCTAATACAGAGCCTGGCATATGGAACATATTCAATTAATGTTTGCTTAGAAGATGAGCTATTTGTGAAATTGTTCTGTAAACCTATGCCTATTCAATGAATGGCATTCTTTTCTCCAAGTCAGATCTAAAGTCTTCAGTCTGAAAAGCTCTATACTTCTATCTAAACTAATATATTTTGTTAGGCAGAATGTGAAAATTTTTATTTTCATGAGCACTTTCTATCTCTGCATTGGACTCTAATTTCTGATTTCTATTTCAAGGCTCATTCTACTAAATCTTATCTGATATTCTACTGTCCAGTTTACCCAGGTCTGTGAGTTTTACAGACTGTGGCTTTACTTCTTCCTGCCTCTAACATATCAGTATCCAGAAGGCACAAGGAATTCCAAGGAATCAACAGTTCTAAGGCAGCTTGCCTCTCTTAGGTACAAGCCTTTAGAACGGGATGTAAAATAGATGATTGTCGAAACTTCAGAGGGAGCAATGAACGCTACGCTGTTTCTCCAAGGCAACTATATTGTTCAATTATTTTGAAGGATTTCTGAATTTAGTCAGCCTTTTAAAAAATAGATTTGTGTCCAAAGATTTGTTTTTCTGCTTTTCTTCACTAATTGAAGTTCCTTGAAGGACTCAAGATTGAGTCAAATTGACTTTCTTCTGATCTTGTGAATCATGAGGTAAAATGAAGGCATAAATGATGTCTAAGGACTCTTGTCTCTCGAAGATTTCCTGACTCTTTAATACTCAATAGTAAGGCATATTGGTCATGATACCAGCCACCATATAGCCAGTACTTTTCCCCTCCGTTCAGTGCAGGACTTTTCTTCACTGGCCCAGCATCCACCCCCCACCCCCGCGCCCCACTCCCTTTGAAGACACCTGGATAGATTTTAAAGGAAAAAGATATAAAAGGAAACAAGGAAAAAGGGAACAAGATAGTCCTTTCTTTCCCCCGAAGTTCTAGCAGTTTGACTGACTCTTACTTGTGAATTTTTCTTGCCACTGAGTCATTGCACATACAGAATTATGAAACTTTAATTTCTTTAGAGGCTTGTTACATTAGAAAAATTGGTCCAAAGAAAGCAACAATCATGACATAAGCACATCTGGCTCTTGCAAGTTATTCTTTATTAAGCTTTCATTTAATTACATGTGCTGAAAGGTCTGTAATTTTTTTTATTTGTCCATCTGAATGTTAGTAATGCTGGAAATTACATACAAACCACCTGTTTTTCCTCCCCTACTAATATGGCAAAGTTTGAGCTATTTTCTCTGTGGTTAATGAACTAGGAAGCTTTCTATTTATTATGATAGAAATGTGACTATTAAGGTAGTCATAATCTTGATGGCTTAATTCTTGATGATAAGAAGAAAAGAAGATATTTGAATGGCATTTTCAAGCATGAAATTCTGTTAAAATTGAGGTATCTGAATTCTGGTTAGCCATAGCAGATTAACACATTCATTTATCACCAGTTTCACCCCAAAGCTAATACCTCTACAGTTAAGGATTTCACATCCTGTGCTAGGAAAAAGAAGCTTGATTTTGTTCCCCCACAAATCTGGCTATATTCTCTTTTGGATTATGTTATATGCTGCATAGAAATAAGACCCTGAGGAAGGAGGGACTGGCATTGGGCCTCAGGGATCTTGAGGGCAGCACTCTTATCATCCAGAAGGGTCAGCATCCCCAGAGAAGTTTAGTCAGTATTGGATTAGAATGATGTTCTTCCAGAAATCCCTAGGAAAGTTTAGATCAGTTTCTTAGTTCATGAATATTAAAATTACATGAATGGACATACCGACTTTTAAAGAACTTTTATGAAGATTTTAGGTACTAGGAAGAATATTTGAGACCATTTAGTCAAATTCCTTTTTGTATTATTGAAGACATTGAGTCCTAGAGCAATTCAATCCTTTGTTTAGGGTCATAAACTTATTTCTAGAAGGACCAGGAACAGAATAATGACTCCCATATCATTGTTCTTTCTTTCTGTTATACTGTTTATTCTCTTTCATTTTCCTCTTTTAAAATAGTGAAAGAGAAATTGCAAGGCTGTCAGAGAAACAATTATCTAACAATACGGTAAGTTTTTTTTGAAACTCCATTTCAGCTGCATTTAAAGAGATGATGTTTGTCTTCCCTCTTTTGCAGCAGCTCTATGCCGCTCAGCTGGCCAGCATGCAGGTGTCACCTGGAGCAAAGATGCCATCAACTCCACAGCCACCAAACACAGCAGGGGCAGTCTCACCTACTGGGATAAAAAATGAAAAGAGAGGGACCAGCCCTGTAACTCAAGTTAAGGTATTTACTTTGCAGGATTATGGAAACAGTTTGGAAAATAGCTTCACAAGAAAGGTAGTGAACCAGGCTGTGTTGGGAATAAACGGCAGGAAGCAAAACAGCCTAAAGGAACCCCAAAATGCTCCTCTTTATTGTAAATTTCATGATTGAGCACTGAGAAACAGGTGTTTCCCTTTTGATAACAATAGTGCCATATTGTGAGATCTTCACCTATATCTGCATACTTACTTCTCAAGGATTTTTCCCCTTTGGATTCTGGCGTTTATTTTTTAATGTTCATTGGCATGAATGGCCACGTTTTTATTACCAGTCTTTGTCATAGTCTTGTGACACTTCTCTCTAACTTCCTTAAACAGGTGGGGAGCCAACTTACAGTGCTAGAGGAGGAGGATCTCAAAACTTTAGATTGACAAAATAGAACCCAGTGCTAGACTTTATATGGTTTGTTGATAAAGCTCTCTCCTTCAAAAATAGTTATAAACGTGGTGGCTCTCAGGAATGAGTGGTGTCATAACGTAATCATGCTTTGATGCCATATATAGTTGTGATAGGATAAACAGGATTGCCCAAGTTATGACTGAAACATTAATAGATCCTTTCCTCACTGATTTTCAGTGTCTTAAAATGGGGTAGCCAGGAGGTGCTTGGTGACAGAGGGGAATTGATGATCCAGTCTAACTTTGTGCTGCAGCTGGTACTTACAGGCTTTTGCGATTGCCTGTGCTTCCTGTATTGAATTAACAAATTCAGACAGCTCAAAGAAACAATTGTTTTGTATCACTGACTTACCTACTTTGCGGGATATGTTAAGCACAGATGTATTATTGTAATGTGCCCAAAGTACTGCACTTGGAGAAATTTTGCAATTATTTTTTAACTCATTACATGGGAAACATCTAAGGCCAACAAAACAGCATTGAAGGCCACAGAATTACTGAAATTGTTTTATTTTCTAAAACTTGCAGATAGGGACTTTGAGATTTCAGAAAAGCCCTTAAAAAATATGGATCCCAAATACCAAAGATAAAAAAAGTAAACATAATTAGGATGGATAGTTCTGCCAGTGCCCACCCAAAGGAATTAATTTAATGCCACCCATGCCTTTAGATTCTCCAAAGAAGTAGATGAACATGTATGCTTTGTTGTTAGAAATATTGAGATATGACAGTAGGCGGTTTACATTTAATAAGATAGTATTAACTTATGGAAACAGACTATTTATTTTGTGTTCCAAGAGTTTCTTTTTGTGAATAAGAGAACACTACCACTCAAACCAAGGCACTTGGTTTAATTATAGTTGTTGGAGTATAAGCATATCAAACATCAGTGACTTGAGGTATTGAGTATTAGATATTTTAACATGAAAAAGTCATTTTATAAGTGGGTTGGCCAAATGGAACTGCACCAAACCAAGCCTTTACTGGATGAGTAAAATGTTCCCTGGTTAGATTCAAGTTTCTATTTGCTTTTACCATTCCAGTTTTGTGGGCCAACTGAATTTTATTACTCACTTGACCACATGCAAATTCTTAGGGAGTTCTCTATATAATTTGACTTGACTATACTTTATGTTAATAACAAAGGAGGTATTTATTATACTTATTAGACTGTTTATTGTATGTGTGAGTAAAAATATATAGACCAAGACATAAAGCAAATGTTTTAAATTTTTAAAATAGCTCCTACCTATTATTACAGAAGTTCTGAAAATAATCTTATATTTTGCTAATTGAAAGAATTATGGTCACTAAAATATTTCATGTTTCTCTCTGTAGTCATTCTTTCCCTCTGTACATAATACGACTACGTGACATAGGGCATTGTTAGCTGAAGGTAACAAAAATAAAAATAGATGGTCTTCCTTTCCTTTTTTCCCCCAGAATTTTTATTTGCTATAATTCTCAACATCAGCAGGAAGGATGTTTCTGTTCAAATGTCAGTTCTGTCACTTTTACTAGATGTGTCACCTTGGGCAAGTTACTTCTTTCAGCCTTAGTTTTTGCCTCTGTAAAATGGAAGTTAATATTTTTACGGGTCTTAAATGAGATAATACATCTTCTAGAATATAGTGACTATTCCATAAATGTTAGTATAGCGATGACGTTGATGATAATCTGATGCTAATAAAGAAGATGGTGATGGGTGGTAGTAGTGGTTGTAACTGAACTATCTGGTTGTATACCGAGAGAGATCCTAAAAGAAACCTAGAAGATTTCCATTTTAAACCATTATGGAGGAACAGGGATTTACTTACTCTCCAAACTTAAACAAGTAAAACTCAAGACACAATATATAAAACAGTAGTTTCAGACATTTCCAATAGGCGTACAGGACAGTGACCCCTGATAGAAGAGAAACAAGTGAGGCAAGCAACACAGTTGTTCCATCTCACTGTCTAGAGAGAATTTCCAGGCAATAGTGCGGGGGCGGGCGGGTGGGGCGGGACGTGTAGCCACATGCAGTTTGGAAGGCTTCCCGAGTAGAGAGACGAGAGTTCAGAGTTTAAGGATGCCAAGTAGATGGAACTTGTGAGGTAGAGTACCAGAGGAGGGAGCTGTATATATAGAGAGAGCACTGGAAATCTGCAGAAGGTTCCCCTGTATTTAGCTGAGTACTGCATGTGAGGAAACTACCTGAGGCCAGGGAAAAAGACCAGATGTAGCAGACAAAACCATTGCAAGGTTCCCAAAAAACTGAGAATGATTTGTGTTCCCACTGGCCAGACTGGAAAGATCACTTGACACGTGGGCACCAAGTAGAGTCCCCAGCAGGGTATTACCTCACTAGTGGGGCCAGATTATCCCTAGATTAATGACTGCTCTGGACCTGCCTAACAAAGCTTAAAAGTAAGCTTAGTAAGGCTTTCCGTGTCTCAGAACAAAGTCCACACATACTTAAAGGAATATACAAACTATGAAACCCAGCACTGTAAAATTCACAATGTGGAGCATGTATTCAATAATTACCAGGCTTTCATAGAAGCAAGAAAATATGAACAATGATGAAAAGAATAATCAATCATTAGAAACAACCCCCAAAATAACACAGATGATAGAATTAGTAGATAAGACAGTAAAAACAGCTCTTATAAGGGACTTCCAACTATAGCCAAGTGAAGAGGTAAGCATATCTGCTCCTGTTCACCCACAAAGTTTCTCTTGGGCCAGGACAGGCTGTGAGGACCAACAACAGGCCTGCCATTGTGGAAAGGGACTGACTTGACTGGGAGTTAATAGGTGCTTCCCATGCTCAGTGGCATTGTTGGTGGAAATGGCAATTACTGAATTATAAGAATGAATAATAAATTAGAATATACAGTCATACCTTTTTTATTTATTTATTTTTTATAAAGTTATTTATTTTTATTTTTGGCTGTGTTGGGTCTTTGTTGCTGCGTGTGGACTTTCTCTGGTTGCGGAGAGTGGGGGCTACTCTTCGTTGCGGTGCGCGGGCTTCTCATTGCGGTGGCTTCTCTTGTTGCAGAGCACAAGCTCTAGGCACGTGGGCTTCAGTAGTTGTGGCGCGCAGGCTCAGTAGTCATGGCTCGCGGGCTCTAGAGCAGAGGCTCAGTAGTTGTGGTACACAGGCTTAGTTGCTCCGCGGCATGTGGGATCTTCCCGGACCAGGGCTCGAACCCTTGTCCCCTGCATTGGCAGGCAGATTCTTAACCACTGTGCCACCAGGGAAGTCCCATAACCTTTTTTATTGAGCTTCATTTTATCGTGCTTCACAGCTATTGCACTTTTTACAAATTGAATGTTGGTGGCAACCCTGCATAGTCAGATGATGGTTAGCATTTTTTTAGCAATAAAGTATTTTTTAATTAAGGTATATACGTTGTTTTTTTAGGCATAATGCTATTGCACACTTAATAGACTACAGTAGTGTATAAACGTAAGTTTTATATGGACTGGGAAACCAAAAATTCATGTGACTCACTTTATTGTGATACTTGATTTACTGCAGTGGTCTGGAACCAAACCCATAATATATGTGAAGTTTGCCTAATATTCAAAACTGAGTAAAACCAGGTGTTATAAACTCCACATATTCAAGAATATAGAGGAAAACATGAATATTATAGGACAAGACATGGAAAACTTATATTGAATGTCTGGAGATGAAAAATACAGTGTTTGAGATGAAAAGTACTCTGGATTAGTACTGTTTTGCAATAGCAACAGATTAGATATTATAGAAGAAAAGACTAGTGAACTTGATGACATAACAATGAAACTGTCCAACATGAAATACATAGAAAAAAGACTATCAGTGCTGTGGAACATCAAATGGCCTCATATATGCAACTGGAGCCCCAGGAGGAGAAGGAAGGGACAGAAAAATATATTTGAAGAAGTAATGGCTGAAATTTTTCCAGATTTGAGGAAAACTCTGAACTCAGGTACCTTATGAAGCTTGGTAAACCCCAAGTAAAAGAAATGTGGAGAAAACTAACTAAACACCTAGTTTATAAATCACTATTATTTAGATAGGAGTAAAGGAACTAACTAGTCTAATATCCTTTGAGTTCAGAGCAAAGGCAAGTAAATTGTAATTAAGCATATCAGATAATTTTGACATTTGTAATGGATACAACTATGTTTCCTGAGAACCTATCCTATGTCTGGATAGAGATAAAAGTGCATTGCACCATAGATGTGCCAGATTACTTATTTCCTACCAAGACAAACAAACAAACAAAACAACAGAATAAAGCTAGGGTATCCCTACATTATCAAGTGACTTATTTTAGCTGATAGTTTAGTAGAAAAAGGGCCTGGGATTTGGAGCCCAATAAACTATAATTCCAATTTTGTCCCTCCACGTATGACTTTGGACAGTCATTTTATCACTCTGACTGCTTCTTCCTTTGTAAATTTAGAATACTACTGCCCAGCCTCATAGAGTTATTGGTAGTTAAATGAGCTAATATTTGTGAAAACGTCTAGCACGGTGTTAGTACATAAAGGTTCCTCTGTGCATGTTATTTTCGTTTTCTCTTTCTAATCCTCCTTCCTGAGTACTGTTTTCTGGCATCCCTTTTTGTTCCCGCTTAAACAGTGACCATTAGTACTGGGAGAGACCTTAGAGATCAGCTAGAATCAGACCCTTTTTTCTATAGATGAAGAAATCGAGCCCAGAGAGGTCACATGTTTGCCGCAGGGGAGAAAGTTCAGTTTCCAAGCTCTACTGTGTGTTTTAAACAATAACATTAAAAGCAAGTTCTCTGTGTCTTCTCAGAAGCAAAACAGGAGTTAACATTTGATGACAATTTTATTTTAAACACAATAATGCAGATTTTAAAACTGAACATTTAAATGAATATGCTCATATTACAATTAAATTTCTAGAATGATGGAAGTGTTGTTAAGGGTGTTTTGTGGCAGGATAAATGAAACAAAATAAAGGTGAGGAGCTTAGCTTTCAAGCTCCTGCTAAAACCAGAGTTACAAGCCAGGTGTTTGAATACTGTGCTCAGTATAGAAAAACAGGCATCTTAAAATAGACATTCTGTAAATATATGTAGCAAAGAATATAAAGAGACATCACTTTAGACATGAAAAATAAATTGTATATAGCATGGTATGTAAAACATAATTATAATGTGTGCTTGCTCTTTGCAAAAATTAATTTTAAACATAAATAGAGACCAGAATATAGACCATGAAGAGTGCCCACACCCAGGAAGCCACATAGAAGCCATGCTGTGGCATGCGGCTCCCTGGGCAAAGGCCCAGAAGAGCAGAGGAAGGCTTTGTGTTTCCATTTTTAAAGTACTTGCTATTGTTTGATTTAAAATATATATTAAAAAATTAGTGGCCGAGCCTATTTATAGTTCCAGGAACTTTTCAGAGAGAATAACACAGAAGCACTACAGAGCTACTGAAATTTTAAATAATTCTTTGTAAATGCCCTAGGTTAATTTAGATCCCTGAAAACACATTAGGAAATTAAGCTGTAATGTGAGCTAATTCAGATTTTAATTCGGCAAAAAGAATGATCCAACTACACAGTCAATGTAAATAGAAACATAACACAGGGAAATTAATGAGGTTTCCTTCTGATGAATCTTCAAGGAGGTAGATCATTAGCTTCTTTTGTTATTATTGCAGGAGAATGTGGCATTGTCTCTGAGGTATAAAATAACTGTGGCTTACTAAGTGATAATGTGCTTCATTTAAAAATAAATAATTATTTATGGTAAACTTGTAGGATGAAGCAGCAGCACAGCCGCTGAATCTCTCATCCCGACCCAAGACAGCTGAGCCTGTAAAGTCTCCAACATCTCCCACCCAAAGCCTCTTTCCAGCCAGCAAAACCAGCCCTGTCAACCTGCCTAACAAAAGCAGCATCCCCAGCCCCATTGGAGGAAGCTTGGGAAGAGGATCCTCTTTAGGTAAATGGAAAGGTCAACACCAGGAAGAGACTTATGAATTAGGTAAAAGAAAGCAAAACATGTTTACTGATGACTGATTCTTGTTTCCAGAGTGTTCCTTAGTCCAAGAAAAAAAAAAGTGAAAGTAAATAAAGTAAAAGTAAAATCTTTTCTGCTGAAACATAACCCAGTTACAGTGTCTTGGGTGACTAGAACTTTTAGAAAAGGTTATAATATAAATCCTGCTGGGATGGGTTCTTCAGATGATGATGAGTTAAATCCAACACTCACAGACTTAGAAATTTCTGTGTTTGGTCAGTGCTTTGCCGCTGAAGCAACTCTAGGCAGATTAAGAGTGAACATGAACCCTCCAAGGGCCTAAAGGAAGCTGGCCTAAAAGCTGCCTGCCAAAAGTCCAAAATTTATTTGACATTTTATATTTTCTTTGTAAAATGTTTGTGAATTTTACATCTTATCCCATATCAGTTTTGCATTGAAGCAAATATGAATGACACACTTGATTGCCATCATATGAAATAAAGTTAATGTCTAGTAAGATATGTCATAGTGATCCTCTGCCTCCTTACATTCTCTGATGTATTGCCAGGTATCTCTAGGGATATTCATACCCAGGTATGAGAAGTATAGAGAAAAAAATGGGATTTGGCATCAGGCAGACTTGGACTGAGAGAGAGCTTTTACTTACTAGCTATGTGACCCTGTGAAAAGTATTTAATATTTTTGAACTCAGTTTCCTAATATCTGGAAGGGAAATATTATTACCTAGCTCATAGGTTGTTATGAGAATTAAAAGAGAAAAAATATATAACTTGCTTGGTATCTGGCACCCAGAAGGCATGCAATTTAAAAAGACTGGACAACCGAATAGCAACACATTTACATATACATGTGGAATGAGACAGTAATTGCGAAAGCACGAAAGCATGTAGTAGCAGAGAGCCAAATAAATATGAACATTATTGTTACTATGCTCTATAAGTCTCTTAATTTTCAAATAAAGACACAAAATTTCAAAGGGATTAAGGACTAGAACTAGCATTTCTTCACCATATTACCTTCCTTGTGTTGTTGAATCCTATAGCCTGAATTGCTTCCTGTAATAAATAAAATAATGTGTAAGTGTAGCCATTTACAATTTAAAAAACCATTTTGCCTATCTTCTCTCATTTGATTTTACACAATAATCCAATGAGTTAGGTAGTGTATTATTATTACTCTCATTGTATAATAAATTGTGGTCTTACAGTTAAAATGACTTGCCCACAGCCATGTAGGTATTAATTAGCAGAGTCAAAACTAGAATCCAGGTCCTCTGACATATAACTCAGTGCTCTTTTTATAAACTCACAGTTGGAATATATGCTGAGCTATGCTGAATCTAAGTGAATCTTCTGATGATGAGATGTAAATCTTCCTCATTGAAATTGGGGACATTAGGATCCACACATCAGCCTATTCTCTTTTTGAGTTAGGATGCCTCTTTCAGGGGCCCAGAGGTTTTCACTCCAAGTCAGTGGGATTGCTGTGGGAAAGAGAAATGAATCATTTCCAGCATGTGAATATGATTGCTGAATTGTTGAAAGTCGTGAGATGAGGGGGAAAAAAAGCCAACATGAGGATAAATAATAGGCTTGATCTTGAAATGGCCCTCCTATAATCCACTTCTGAATTTTGTTTGGAAAGCATTTGTCTTCTGTACTGAGCATTGTGAGGGACAAAGACGACTGTTTCACAGGCCCTGCTCTTATGGAGTTTATACCTCAGCAGAGCGTATTCTTTAGATCGTGAGCTAGAAATGAGCTGAAGTAATAGCACTCTTGTCCAGACAATACTGGATAGAATTTTTTTTTTTTAATCAGAAAAGCTTCAGAGCAAAAGATATGGGTTTTCTATATCCTAAAAAGTGGCTGTTTAACTTTCTAGAACTTTTCCATAGATAGTGTTGGTGATATTTTCTAAACTCAAGTACATACACACATGCACTGCACACACATAGACGTGTGATGTGAGCTTGATTGTAGTCTGATTTCCTCTGTCCCTTCTGTCTCTGTGAGGTGTGTGCACACACACACAGATATGCACACATACACACACACACATGCATGTGCTATGAAATGCTCATACCAGGATACATGCAAGCTGATCTCATTAAACTTTATCACAGCAGCTGAAATCTATCAGTCAGCAAGCAATTGCCTTCTTTTTGCCTAAAATTGGAAAGCCTCATCTAAAGTATTAATTTTAACCTACAGTAAAATGCAAGATACGGAGGAAAATTAGTTTAATTTTGAATTTTGTCCTTCTGTGTTGCATGGAATATAATGAAAGTAAATGTTTTCACTTTATTTGAAGCTGTATACTTATGTGAAATCCATTCCCACACATACAGCCTTACTATCACGAAGACAGGGAACTGAGAACAGTGGGTGTTCCAGTTGGGGGTAGGAAATGGGTTGTCATTCTCTTAGTAAATAACTGAGGCAGCATGATGAGTAGAATGCTTCATTAACCAGCCAGTGATTGGGGAACAGAGAGTGCGGTATGTTCCTTCCCACCCCTTCTCTCCTGCAGTGGACATATGAACACACAGATACAGATATCTGCTAAAGGACACATGTAGCCTCACAGATTTTTTATGGCTGGGCCAGAAACAACTTTGCTGTATTAGCACACCAGATATAATGGTCAGCCTGCACAGATGTCTCTGCACCCATCCCCACCCCTTTCTTCACCACTACTGCCCCACTAATTGTTAGATATAGCCAGAATATATATATATATATATATATATATGAATCTAGGAACCTTCATCTGTGAGGAGTTGTGTTGACAGAACCCAGATAAACTGAAACGCTGGTCCTCCGAGGGCTAAAAAAACCTCAGCACAGCTCGTTACCCTGGATTTCTGTGCTGTGTTGCAGTTTTCTTAATAGCAAATGTGTCTCTTCCTTCTTCAGAGAATGTGGTATTATACAGGGGAGTGGGTAGTAGCAGTATTTTTTAAGAGTCTAACCTTACAAGCCTCTAATAATGCATCCTGTATATGCAGATATCCTGTCCAGTCTCAACTCCCCTGCCCTGTTTGGGGATCAGGATACGGTGATGAAAGCTATTCAGGAGGCTCGGAAGATGCGCGAACAGATCCAGCGGGAGCAACAGCAGCAACAGCCGCATGGTGTTGATGGGAAACTGTCTACCATGAATAATATGGGGCTGAACAACTGCAGGAATGAAAAGGTAAAACTTGCTTCCCTCCTTCTCTGGCTCTGCTAGACCCATTGACTCATTTTTATCTGGCTCTTTCCAGGCTCCCAAGCATCAAACTGCAGCCAAAGATTTGGGGTCCTAGCTTGAGGGCTTTCTTACATCACACTTAATCATTAGTGCTGGTTAACAAATACACCCTTTCCCACTTAGTATGGGTCGCCTCCCAGGTACCCAGCCAGGCACCCAACCTACCTGTCTATTGGTGTTTATCTGTCCCATTCCAAAAGATTTAGAAATATCTTATAATAAAGGGGGTGTATGAGGTTACAAGACTATCAGAATATTAAAAAAGGAAGAAGCATATATGCTCACAGTGAAGGCTAATACATTACCATGACTCATCATTCAATCTATTACTAAGCTTCCTATCTGCCTGGGCAAAATAGAAAACAAAGCAACTTACAAAATGCATTCATTATTTTTTGATTCAACAAATTATTTATCGAGTGCTTATTCTGTAATAGACACTGTTCTAGGCACCGGAGATACAACAGTGAACAAATCAGACAAAAATCTCTGTTCTTATAGAGCTTACATTCTAATAGGGGAACACAGATGAGGAAACAATAAACAGTTAAATACATAATGAGTAATGTCAATAACATCAGGAGGTGACTCAATGCCATGAGAAAAATGGAAGCAAGTTAAGGGAATAGGGAGTTACAGGATTGTTCTTTTAAATAGGTTGGTAGGGACTCTGCGGAAGTGTTACGGAGTAGAGAGATCTGAAGAAACCCCTGTGCAGGCCACATGAAGAGCACCCAGGCAGTGGGAACAATAAGCTTAGAAGCTCTTAGAGTGTAGGACCAGCAACAAGGAGACCAGCGTGGCAAGAGCAGCTTGAGGGAAGGGAGAGCAGTGGGACGTGAAGTAAAGTGATAGCCTGGGGTAGAGTGTGTTAGACCTGCAGGCCTTGGAAAGGCTTTGTGTTTCACCTGAGTCCTATGGGAATTCCTAGACTGGTTTTGTCCAGGGCATTGACATGATCTGATTTACATATAAAAGGATCATTCTGCCTAATGTGCAAGAACAGCCTGCAGGAGGTTAAGAATGGAAATAGGCAGACCAGTTGAGAGACTATTGTCATACACTGGGTGAAAAATTCTGATTATTTGATGAATGAATGATCCTTGCCATTCCTTGGCTTGTCTCTGCATCGCTCCAGTTTCTGCCTCCCTCTTCACATGGCTATCTTCCCTCTATGTATGTCCCCCTGTCTCCAAATCTCCCTCTTCTTATAAGGACGTCAGTCATTGGACTTAGGGTTCACCCTAATCCAGTGTGACCTTATTTTAACTTGATTATATCTGCAAAGACCCCATTTCCTATAGATAAATAGACAGATTATATAAATATATAATATGTTAAATTAATCATTATTTGCCTCCTCCCTCCTCCACCTTGATTGATCTCTTGGCGGGAGGTTCACACCAGGTAAGAGAGAAACTGTCTGGGGGAATGGTGGGTCTTTTGGTGTTGGTTAAGCCATAAACTTTTATATATTGGGGACCTGCTATGCACATGCCAGTCACCGGATCTGCTCAATCCCTTAGGTGCCCCACTCCCCGTTAAGTGCTCCATCTTTGGCAGTGGGCTCACAGAGCAGAGCCCCTTTTAAGAACTGCCTCAGTAGATGGTTACATATACAGTAAGGTTTCAGGACCACAAGAAAAGAAAAGCCTTGCCCCCAAACCTTTTCTACCACTCTGATAGTAGAGATAAACACAGTCAATCTTTTGACCTAAGACACTATACTATACTCAGTGAGCACCATGAAATAGTAACATATTTAATCTTAATGTGAATAACTGTAAGACATTTTTTGGGGACCTAGATAGGTAAACACATTTTGGCATAGGGATACTGGGTGGGAAATTGGGTTAAAAGCAAGAGAATGGGTACATGCACCAGAGACCATCTCCTACCTTATAGTTTTGTCAATGGTTAATCCTAAAATTAATATGAGAAGGATGTTAGTGATTTGTTTAACTGAGTCTTTTAAAATGTATGAGTTTTCAAATGACAGTAGTATATGCTTACTGAAAATTCTAATAATACAGACAGATACATGGTCAAAAGCTAATTACCCTCCTCACCCCATTAACTATCATAATGATTCAGAAGTTTTCTTTGCATATGCAAGAAAGTATTAATGAGTTTAAAACTATATATTCTCACTTGGAATGGTAGGCACCGAGTTGTCACTTACCAGCTGTGTGATATTTGGTAAGTTGAATAACTTCTCTGAATCTCAAGTTCTTCATCTGTAATGTGAGGGTAGTAATCTGGGTTGCAATGAAATAAGATATATATGAATATACCTAGCAAAGCTCCTGGTACAGAGTAGGCACTTTCTTATGTTTCCCATAACTTGTAGACTAAACTATGGGTGATCTTTGAATATATAGAACAAATGTACTATTTTGTCACAGATATGAGCTCCTCACATAATAATGGAAGGGTCAGCAGAAGGAAACAGAGTTAGATTTTTCAGAAGTTGGCATGTTGACCAACTCACATAGTTAAACTCCTTTCTAACTGAGTTGATGCACAAAACTATGGCAACTTCAGATTTATTAAGTTAGATCACGGTTTCTCAGCCTCAGCATTATTGGCGTTTTTGGCTGGAGAATTCTTTGTCATGGGTGGCTAATCTGGCCTCTACTCATTAGATGCCAGTAGTAGCACCACTCCTTTTGTGACAACCGAAAATGTCTCCAGACATTGCTAAATGTCCCCTATTGGGGGAGGGAGGACAAAATTACCCCTAGTTGAGAAATCACTGGACTAAATAAATATATTTAGAATTAATACATTTCAGAAACTTTATTCCACAAAAAACCAAGTTATTTAAATAATCATACTTGTTTTTAAATTATGAAGAATCATTTGCCTTTGATTAATGTTATGAATGAGATATTTCTTTGAAAAATGCATCTAGAAATTTTTGTTTGGAATATTAACATAGAGAATATTTAAAGCAGAATGTGTATATGCCATTTAGCTTGGGGGGGAAAATAAGAAATAAATTCCATATTGTTGCAGCAACTGTGCCTTTCAGTGAAGCTCCCCCGTCACATTCAGCAGGCTTAGACTAGCGGCATCCTGATAGGTTGCACTAAACCTAGGAGTAAATTGACACTGGACATCCCTTGCTTCCTGCAGTGACTCTCTCTCTTTGTCTGACACAGTGACCCTATATGGTTGAATTTATATCATTGGTTGAAGTTCAAGCTTAAGACTCTATTAACTTCAAATACTACAGGTTAATTTTAAGTATTTCTCATTGACTTTTTAAAATTCATATGGAGGAAGGAAGTCTGAGGCTCCAGAATAATAACACCTGAATTTGTGTTGGAAGCCATGAGAGAGAGATGAGAGATTAGGTTAAGGTGGAAAAATAATAATAATGAATCTAAACTTGTCCTGAAACATATCACACTGAATGTAATTGAGCTCCTGAAGATAAGTGGCAAAGTGGCTTCTACAGAATCAGAAAACCCTGGTTTCCTAGTTGAAGGGAGTTGTTGTCTCAGTAGATGACTTTATTGGGGTTGAATTTGGGGCACCGGAAAAGTCCATTATATTCAAGGATGTTGTGCTCACAAGTTCTCCTTTACATGATCTCCCTCCCAAATAATGTCGCTCTTTTGAATGTATATTTGTGGATGTGTAGGCTTTGTTTAGTTTCTAGACCCAGTATGTATCTATCCTTGTTTGCTCGGTTTGTTGCAGCCAGAAGAGTAAATTAAGAACAATGTTAAAGGGCTCCTGTGATAGTCGATTTGGCTCTCTTATAATCAAAATATCCATCTTAATTTTATGAGGTTTCAGAAGACACTACTTTTTCTTCTGAGAATCATATTTTCTTCTGAGATCAAAGAGGGTAAATATATAATGTGCAATAAGATTGGTAAAATGGATTGTGGCAAATTCAGTTTAACTGTCTTCAGAATTGTCCTCTTTGGAATTACCTCAGTTTCCTTAAATGTAAGGATCCATAAATTAGATTTCTGAATTTATTCTTGTAAACCATAATACGGTTTTAGAGATTTTTTTCTCAGTGTTTCTGTCATGAGACCTTTTAATTTATAAAGCATATATAGCTCATCATGCTCATATTTGGACATTTTTTTACAAATGAGCATGTCACAGATTTGAGTTCCCTGAGAAGCAGACTGTGAGATGGAGATTAACGAGCAGGTTTATTGGGGGGGGGTGCTCTTTCTGATTGCCACCTGTAGAAGGGAAAGGATGAAAGCAGAATAGGACTGTGATGCAGTCTTAACCAAAGCCTTAGCCAACCTCATATGAAGCTTTGAGATGGCCATGGCCATGCAGAATTGTCCCAAGTTGGATGGAGGGGGTGAACTTTTATACACTTGTATCAACCAGTCATTGGATGAGGGTTACCCTGGGAAGGGGACATAACCTTAGGTGATGTGACTCTCTTTAGTTGAGGCAGTGCTGAAGAGGGCCAAGAGCTAAGGGTGAGCAACAACGTTCCCTGCAGCCGAGGAAATAACTCAGTCCTGAAGGGGTATCTGGGCAATGCATCACAATGTCCATTGTAGAGTTGTTTTTGTGACATTTACTAACATTAGATGTATATAAAACATGCTTTGTATGTTTCATAACTGAGGGGAAACATTTACTACACAGGCATAGGGGTGCTTATGTCTTTATGACACATACAGAATCACATATATGTCCATATGAATACATGTTTACCCATGGCGTATTTCACTTTATTGGGTAAACCCCTATTTTGATACTTTAAAATGAAACATTGTTGACTTGATCAGCCAGAACGGCACCAATGGAGTTGTTCTGGTTGGCTGTGTCACCGGATATTTAGGGTCTGTTAAATATATAGATTGTAGGGACAATAGACTGTAACGGCGCCTTAGGAACTGTTATGCTCCATCATTTCAACACAGCTGCTGTGCATGGATCATGAGTGTCTTGCT